AAAAGCTTAGAGTAGAGTTAGTCTTTCATCTCTAAATTGTTCTTTCCTCCTGCAGTTTTGTTCCTGCAGCATCCTTTATTCTGATTCTCAAATCTGCAGTGGGCTTCCTAGTAATTTTTTTTTTCTCAGCAGTCCCACTGACCACTTTCTCTTCTGGGAGTATCCGTGACTGGATGAATATTTATGTTTGGGTGAAACTATAGGATCTCAGTGACCAACCCTAATGAAAATCAGCATGAAAATAAGTAAATGAGTAAGTTTCTTGCACAGTATATTTCCACAACTATTACTTCAGGACTTGAGAAAAAAATGCATTATTCATCTGTCAGAGGGCTCACTGCTACTGTAATGTATTCTTTTTAGCATCCATTCCAATTTGAGGTGTAGATAATTCAGCTGAGATCCTGTGTTCCTTTATTCTGGGGAACTCCAGTTCAAGTTCATGTCACTGAGGGTTTTGCTTAAAGAAAGAGATCAGGACAATTGCTTAATTGACATTGCACATTTTCAGTGAAGCATAGTCCCATATGAAAAGTGCAGGCTCTCTTCCTCTCTGTTCACCGCCCCCCCCCCAAACCACACACTTGAAACTCAAGCTCTCGCTGGAGTCCCTTATCTTTCTTTTGAAGCTATTACAATTAAGAATCCCAACTATTTGACACGTGGTCAGTATGCATTTACTAAAATCCCTAATCCACCTTTTATCAGGTGTTTGTGCTTTTTGACATCCGATTGTTTTCAGAAAACAAACTGCTTCGCTGAGTGATGCAAACTGAAATAGGGTTGGCAGCTGCTGCCCATACATTTTTAGTTTAACCTGAAAATATAGTGTTTGAGGTGTAAATATATACTTCTGACAAAGGAACTTTAATATAAATCATGTAAGATCCTTAAGGAGAAGAGCACTATACTTCAGCTATCCAGTATTTTTACTGTGGCGCTGTGAATGCCTTTACAAAGCATTTCTGGTAGAGTCCTTGATTTACCGAAACTCCTGTTGAAATTGATGAAGACTGTGTATCCAATCTTTCCCTCTTATGGTCCAGATTTTCCTACTCTTTGAGAAACCAAGTCTTTCCCTGATTTTAGATGAGCTCATTGCTTGTGATTACTAGGTTAATGACTAGAGATAGGCAAAAAAGAAGAAAAAAAAAATCTGATTTTGAAGAAAATTTGAAAACGTTGAAGTGTTACATTTCAGAGGGGTCTGATTTGTGCATTTTCCACATTTTTTCCTTTTTTTTTCTGAGTTATAGATCATTATCATGTTTGGAGCAAATTAAACTGTTTCCAAACTATCACATCAGTTTCATTCCTTTGAGGAGGAAAAAATCAGTAGAAGGCCCTGGTTCTTTTTTAAATACAACCTGAAATGTTTCTGCAGTTTTTAAATGCAACCTGAAAAGTTTCTCCAACTTTTTACAAAGAAAAAAAGTGTGGTAAAAAGTCAATTTTTTAAAAGGGAGAACGGTACCTGTGTATCAAAAACTCAATGAGCTCTATTAAAGATGTTTAATGCTCAAGTGGCTACAATTAGTTTTCCAGGCTATTAGTTTATGGAGAGAGTCTGTTAATGCTATTATTTGCATCTCTCTGTCAACAAAATCAGTAAGACCTTAGTGCATTAGATTTTTTTTTTGGAAGGGTGTCTTTTCAGGCGGAAAGGCAAGATACATTATATCAGAACAGAAGCTTAGATTTCTGAAGAAAACAATAAAAATCCATATAAGGTTCCTACACATCCTTAAACTCCACAGTATTTTTTTTTGTGTTTCTTAATTTCTGTTGTTCTAGTTCATGCACTTCAGCTCTAAAAACAGACCTCCAACCAAGAAGTCCATTAGCTCAGCTAGTAGAGGGAAGTATTTTATATGAACGTATCCATTGTGCTGCAGACCTTGGTAGCATATGGGAGGTGAATGTAAATTAGCAGTGGAACACTTCTCTTGCAGCACACAATCCAATAGAGAACAAAGTCTTACACTCCCTATAGGAAAACACGTCCCTTAGCTACAAGTGAACTATCTACAGTTACTGTTTCAGGGGACTCCATGCCTCTCACAGAGTTCCTGTATAAAGCTGCTTTTAGAGAATACGGGTTGTATTACATCTCTACTAAACAGGTGATAAAAGGCATGGGAGACATGGGTGGATCCAGGATTTTAAAAAGGGAATGTGGGATTAGCAACCAATGCTGCAGGGGTGACTGCACCCCTGCTCTTAGCTTCCTTCCCCCCCTTCCCCAGGCAGGCACACCACATTGTGGGAGCAGCAGATGGGCATTCTTAAAGTCCCCAAATCAGGTGAGAATACCTTCCCACCCCTGCTCTTGGTACCCCATTCCTTTCCCTCTGTGCTCAGCAGCACCTCCCCTTTCCTCCCATTGTCCCCCTCACCCTCTCTACTTAATGCCTCTGACTGCAAGAAGCTATTGGGGAGATTTCTCTGCTGCCACTGCCATTGTCATGCAGCTCCTGCCCCACTCCAGCTGGGGCAGTGGGGAGCAGCTTTGTGGGGAGCTGGGCTCAACCAGGGACAGTTGCAGCAGTGGGCAGGTGCTCCCTCCCTGAGCCTGCTCCAGAGCTGGCTAGGAACACCTAGGGGGACTGGGAAAAGAAGGGAGACTCGCCTGCTGCTACCGCTGCTTGTTTCCCAGGCTGAGCCCAGCTCCTTGAGCAGCCCAGCTGAAGCAGGGCAGGAGAAGCTCTGGAGCCCCCCACCCCCAGGTCAATTGAGGGAACAGAAACAGAAGTGGGTGGGAGAGGAGGGATTGGGGTGGCACATGCTACTGATCATGGAGGGTTAGGCAGGGAATTCTTACCTGCTTTGGGGACTTTTAAGTTCCCAGCTGCTGTGCCTGCAGCATGGTCTGAAAGGTGGGGGTGGGAGGCATGCCACTGCATGCCTTCTGGATTTGCCCCGATGGGAGATGACTTGTATTGAATTAGACTGGGTGGGTTGGGGGATGGGACAGGGGACACTGGCTGTTTCCTGGCAACAATATGTTTGGAAAAACTTCACTGGATCAAGGTCCAAGTACCTTATGTGAATGGGTAAGGTTATGGACATAGTCACAGGTGTAGGCTAAAAATATTCAGTGCTTTCTTGCTTCTCACTTGGTTCTCTGCCATGGAAATTGAATGCTGTTTGACCTCCATAAACAATGCAGAACTTAGCCCAAGGACTTGATTTTTAAATGCTCATGGGTCAGTTCTGATGGTGTTCTGTACAGTAACATGAGAACTGGAGGCTGTCATTATAATACCCCAGCATGCAGCCTATAGCAAAAGGGAGGAAAGGAGCATGAGCATATCATGACGAAAACTACATGTTCCACCACAGATATTTGCATCCTTTGTAACTGATTTTACATAACAAATGAAAAACCTTTTCCAAAAGCATGATTTCCAAGAATGATTGATGTTGCTTAGTTCTCTTAGAAAATCCAAAGTGATCTTTCAGTTGGTTTTGCTAATCCAGTCTCCATTTCTAGAATAAACTACTATTTCCATAAACATTGGAGATTATTCCTGAAGGAGGCTGTAAGTAAAAGAAATGATAACATTATATACTGATGTTATTTATATTACACTAGCACCTAGATTTGCCAATTGAGGTCAGAGCCCAGTTGGGCTGGCCCAGTGCAGATGCATAGTCAGATTAGTCAGATATGGCCCTTGTCCAAAGTAGTTTATAATCTAAAGTCCTGATCCTGCAGCATTTATGCACATGCTTGACTTTGGCCAAGTGAGTACTTGTGTATGCAATTGACTTTGACCAAGTTAGTAGATCTAGTCAAAGCAGGGGAACATGTGAAGTGATGAGCTCAAGGTCATATGGAAGTTCAGAGGCAAAGCTGAGAATAAACCCCAGGTGTCCCAGTTCACACTCCAGTCCTCTGTTGATTAGTATATGTCCCTTTTCCTATTCCTGCTCTTCTACAATTAGATCCGTGAACGTAATAAACCCCTGTATCTGAATCAGGCATGACATGCTTCAGGATAGCATAGGGGGTGGGAGTGTTGATCCCGCTGAATAAAGATGCAATGCCAAAAATAGTTTAGGACAAAGATCTTGGATGCTAGAAACAGGCACAGCTATTTTTTTAGAAGTACATTGTTTTAAGCTAGAGGCAGTTGTAAGGTAAAAGAAAGGTGGAATAGTACATTAGTATATATGAAAGAATATGATCAGTTAAAACACCAAGTAAACATCTGCCTTTCACATATGCTGATGTGAATGCTTAAAAATCCAAAATTGCATCAGGAGCTAAAAAAATGAAAGTTGGTCACTAAACTCCGCCCATATTAAATACCATATTGTTTCTATAGCAACTAATGTACTTCAAAGGGGAAAGGGAATCAAAGGTAGACAAAGGAGAGGGCAAAAAATGAATAAAGTAAATGGCATAAAAATGAATCTAGTCATGGATATTGTAGATGTTTCATTGTTGCTTGTTTGGGGAAGACTTGCTCTATTGCACATGAGCAATTCATCCCAAACTTGCAGTAATAAAAGAAAGCTCTTAGCACCCCTCGCCATCACATACTCCTGTTAGTCTGCAGACAACTCTTTCACTTGGTTTCTGTGAATTTTCAGCCTAATTCTGTGAGGTACTGAGCACTTCCAACTCCCACTGTCATTTGGAGCTTACAGTCTCTCAAAGTATCTGGTCCTAGGAAATCAAAGTAATTATGACTGGGTTTGCAGTTCTACATATCTGAAATGCAGTACCCATTTCATTTACAAACATATGCTGACCGTATCTTGTCTTTTTCCCCTTCAGGTTTTTTTTTTGACACTTTAAAATAAATGCATATTATTTTTGTTACTAATTCAATAAAACATGTAACATAGCATGTCACAGACCCTGAGATAATAAAAGAACCAGTTAGAAGAGTTCAGTCCTCAATTAAACTGCCATTAACTGATAATACACGTATTAAAACTTTTTTTATTGACCTCCTTGCTTCCCCCTATAGCAGTGGTTTTCAACCTTTTTTCATTTGCGGACCCCTAAAGACTTTTGCATGGAGGTGCGGACCCCTTTGGAAATGTTGAATGGAAGTGCGGCCCCCTTTGAATGGTAAGTGTGGGTATTTGCATACTTTTGATTGATCATAGCCATCTTATGCAGACCCTTGAGACATAGTCTGCAGGCCCCCAGGGATCCTGTGGATCACAGGTTGAAAACCACTCTCTTATAGGAATCTTCTGGCTGTTGTTTATCTAATAGTGGAGTGGTGTGTCTCCGCTATTTAGGCTTTGGCAAAGACACTCTTATGCTGACTGGTACTACTGCACTTATAGGGAAAGCATTCTGAGTCAGTGGCACTGGGTGTCAGGAGAGGTGGAGGGATGTGTTCCAAGTTCTGACACTGCCCTCCCCACCTGGGTAAATGTGGAAGTGTCTACTTAATGTTTTTGCTACAGTTACCTTCTCGGGAAAATGACTGAGTATGATAGGTCCTAGTTTTTCAGGCACCTTTGAGCTCTTTGCTCAAAAAAGAATGCTATATTTGGTCAAGTCTTAGGAGGTAATGAACCCCAACTTCCTTTGAATACACGCAGGCAAGGGCTTCTGGTGCATCACAAGAAGCAGTCAGTGCTTTGCAGAATTGAGCCTTGCATATAACATATTATTTGACTGTGTGCCTTAGGCATTAACAAATTATACTGATTGGATTTACTGCCATGTTTGTTCACAAAGCGACTTTAGAATTGACCAAATGGTGTTGGGGTGAATGTCATTAGTGCAAAACAATGATTGATTCCTTCTTATATGTATGATGTGTTCTCATGTGTGTAAACACAAATATATTTTTACTTGAATAGACAGCCTCTCCTGCAAAGAGCTGGTTGTATCATAGTATCATAGTGCTTAGGGTTGGAAGGGACCTAAACAGATCAGCAGGTCCGACCCCCTGCCCTGGGCAGGAATGTGTGCTGGGGGTCATATCTGTCCTACTCCACCCCCAGCCCAGGCTAGGCAATGCCTGCCCCTACCCGATCCCTCACCACGGGAGGTGTTGATCTGTCCCCCACACCCCTTCCCTCCCCCCTCCCCTTCCACCACACCAGACTTACCACGTGATGGCTGCTGTATCGGATTGGTATCGGCTGATATGCCTCCTTAAATATCAGCTATCTGTATTGCCCCCCAGAATCTATGAGTGAACCCCTAGCTTTTCATAGAACTTGGCTCAGTGTTTGCAGAGAGATGGAATTATCCTCTACAAGTAAATAAGAATGGTTTTGTGACTGCAAAGTAAGTGGCTAGGGCCGCAGGATATAGGAGTTTTTGCATGCCCAATTGTGCATCAAAATTAAATTTCCAAAGCAGTCAGGGAAGAGAAATTCTACCAGAGATTCCAGACTAATATTGAACTCACAGTTGCCTGCTAAATACCTCTTTGATGATTAACATAAATTTCCTCCTGTTTGTGCCTCATTTGCTTTATGTAAACAGAAGTCTTTGTAACCAAAATAAAATGAGCAGATGAAAATGTGCTTGAGCCGGTGCTACGACCAAAATCTTAATTCATTTGATGGTAGTGTTGGGGTGATGTCATTGCCTTTTGATTTTCTTCTGGACCAACATAGCAATGAGTTTTGTGGATGGTATCTCTTATTGGACCAACTGCCTAGTTGGGAGGGATGTAGACATGCTCTTGGGAACCAAGTACTCTTACGGAGGGACCTAGGGAAGGATACTGTGATACCTGAAAGCTTGCCTATGTCTTTCCCAACCATGCATAAATCGAATAAAAGCTATCACTCACAAAAGTCTGGTAAATTTTCTGAGATTTAGCCTATTTTTCCTTTGTACACAAATGCCTTTACTTCCTCCTCTTAAATTGCTGGTCAAAATTCTACTGATTTCTTCAGGAGTTCAACCAAGTTCTTATGCGGCATACCTACACATGCAATTACGGCACATGAATAAACTGCGGGGGTGCCCTGGGGGTCAGCCTGGGGCTGTTCACCACCAGCTCAACATGCTGTGGAGGGGCTGGTTAGGATATGAGGGTGCTTTAGTGCAGGGCTAGCCAGCAGGCAGCCCCTGCACTGAAGTGTCCTCATGCCCCAGCCAGGCCCTTCAGCGTCTACATGTGTGCTGCTGCGGAGTTTTTTACTCTGCATTAGGATAGTACTTATAGTTACAGCTTTATTTGTACTTGTATTTACAAGTACTATCCTGCTAGAGAGTAAATTAGTTTAGCCTAATAGGGATGCACATATAGACGCCAAGATATTTACGGCGCATCATTAGTCAACTGTTCATTAAATGTCTTGTGTAGATGTGTCTGGAGATTACTTCTTTGGGCTTTGCACTGGGTTTCACATCACTTCCTTGTACTTCCTGTTCACAGGGTGGTATGTCTGCTTGCTCTTAGCGCATATTGCCAGAACCCTTTTATTCAGCTCATATCATGCATAAAGTGCAGCCCAAGTGAGATCAGTGGGGCTGGCAGACTTAAGAAATACTCTGCCTTTCTCACAGCACAAGCTTCTTCCTAACTGTTACTGTAGTCTCAGGGCTAGAGTAGTTATTTCAGCTCCTCTCCATTACAGTAGGAAGTGGCTTTGAAAGAAGACAGACTAGCAGCTCTAGCTGATGGGCATCTACATCATTAAAGCAAGTATTCAGGGAAGCCGTACACCTTTCAGTGTCTGTCTTTAAAAGCTCCTTATCTCACAGTAAGATTGGAGCACCGGAGACTAGCAAATGTCTACGTAATTCCAAGACTAGAGAGATTAACACTGGCTATGAGGGAAATGATGGAAACTGTTAAGAAATATGATGGGAAGATACCCCACTCTGAAATAGGACAGGTAGCATGGGTTGGAATAGAGAAAACTGCTCTGTGAGCCTATTAGAAAATTGAGGGTGCAGTATTGAGTGCAAAATAAGATGTCATATTCATTGCAGAGTACTGGGATGGGGATAGGCAGCAAAGCCATCTGTAAACTGAGCAAGTGTGTTACAGATGATGGTTGTGCTAATGGAAACAATAGTGATACAGTGGTGAGGGGTATAATGCAAGGGCTAGTCTACACTAGAAAAGCTTTGGTTGTATAGCTGCATTGGCCAGCCTTCCTAGTGTGGATGCAGCTTAGATTGGCAAAAAAGGTACTTTGGTTTAAATTTATTTTGGGACAATGGCATCAATTAAACAGGTACAAAACACTTTTTTTCTTTACCAATACAACTGTATCTGAACAAGGGGCTTGGTTGGCTAGAATAAAAATGTTGTAATGCCACATCACATCACCTATATAAAAATGTTAGATGAAGTTATGAACAATTGAGTTAGTCCTGCTCAGATTTGAATATGTGGTCCTAGGAAGTGGAGTTATTTCAAACAGGGGTTAAGTGAACTGGGAGATGTCCGAGTATTTTCTGAATATGAACGTGTGTTGGGGAGTCTTGAACACCTCTTACCCCTTTTTGCTGTGCTGTATATGTCACTACATTTCTCCTTTCAGGTGCTCTGATCCCAGAAGCAGTTCAGTCTGAATCACAATGATTAGCATGTGACAGAAGGGGGATTGTGAGGAACAGTTCCAAGGGAGCTGAAATATAGGCCAGGATCACATCCAGTGCTAACAAGGCAACCACAGGAAAGAATAATGGTCACAGGTCATGACTCAGTTTCCCTGCTCCTTATTCAATTGGTCAAGAGATTGTTATCTCAGGGAAATGGGTGGGAATACAGAAATTTGAATCTGAACTGTATAAAACTGCTTCACACAAAGGCATAGGTGTGGGAATCTGAACTTTGCCTCAGCTGCAAAGACAGTTTCTGAGGGCTGTCCTGAGTCATCTTCACCCAATAGTGAGTATGTCTGTGTATTCTCTGCTGTATGTAGCTGCTCCTGGTAATGTTGCCTGGTTGACAGTATCCCAGTAAACTGGTGTATGGTGTGGGGGAATTTGCTATGGCTTCTCTTGTACTTCTCTGGATAAAATGAAAGCCCCCACAGTCATCCTGGGTGGAAACGTATACTGCTTTTCCTATCGGGAAGGGGATATGTACTCCTACCAAAGATCAGCGTTGTCTTATCTTCCCTCAACAAAGTACTATATAAGATGGGTAATTTTTGCCATATCTGCTATCAAAATAGTCAACCTTTAAAGGTGTCATAGTAGATCTAATGTATTTACTTGAATATAAAATAACCTCCCAATAATTAGATTATATCTATATATAGAAAAAATTTAAATTTGTTATAATTTTACTAGGGGTGCACTGATAGACATTTTTTGGGCTGATATTGATGGCCTCTTTTTAAGAAGCCATATCAGCTGATACCGATCTAGTTGCCGATATGCAGCCTGGCAGCTTGGAGAGCGTCTGGCTGGTAAGTCTGGTGTGGGGGGAGGGGGGGAAAGAAGAGGATGGGATAGCCGATCAAGGCCCCTGTGGTGAGGGAGGGAGTGGGGCAGGGGCAGGCACTTCCCAGCTGGGGTGGGGTGCAAAATGGAGCTGCAGCTCATCTGGGGGTTGTGCGGTGGGGGTGGGAGGTGGCTTTTTCTGTTCATGCACCCCAAGAAGGCATGGGGGGGGTGTGCACCCGGATCTATGAGTGGGGCAAGCTGCAGACTGGGGTGGCGCTGGGCTCTTCTTGGCGGGGTGTGGGAGAGGGCTGGGCTGAACTGAGCTGTGCCTGGGGCAGGTGATAGCAGCACTGGGAGCAGGGGCTACAGCAAATTTTGGGGTGGCTATAGCTCCCCTCCCCCATAGCCCCCCTCCCAGTGCTGATGCCACCTGCCCCAAGTGCAGCCCGGCCCAGCTCCCTGCTCCAGGAAATGCTTGGTGCAGCCCTGGGCCCCAGCCCGCAGCAGCAGCCCACCCTTGCTACACGCATGTATCCGAGGGCACATTTCCCCCATGTCCTTCTGGAGTGTGCGTAACAGTGGGAGCTGTCCCCCTGCATCCCTTGGACAAGCTGCTTGTCTTGTGCCTGCCACTGCCCCCCTTATTGCAGGGGCCTTGATCTGCACCCCGCCCCCCGCACGCTCCTTCCCTCCTTCTGCCCCTCCTCCCACAACAGACTTACCAGTGGATGCTACTGTGCACA